CCGAGACTTCTATTGGGAATCTGAGTGGTTGGAGCTGGAGAGGAAGGGCTGCCTGACCCTCTTCACAGCCTTCTCCCGGGAACAGGTGGGTGTGCTGGGCAGGGCGGTGCCGGCAGGGAGGGGGCCAGGCCAAGGATGCACCGTCCCCATGCCCCGCCCCTGCCCCCTCCGCTCCCCCTCCCCGTAGGAGCGGAAAGTGTACGTGCAGCACAGGCTCCGGGAGCTCGGGCCGTTGGTGTGGGAGCTGCTGGACCGCCGAGGCGCCTACTTCTACCTGGCGGGGTGAGCCTGGGCCCCCGGGGGGCGGGGGGGGAGCCCGCCCTCCGGAGGTCCCAGCCCTACTGAGCCCTCCTGGCCCGTCCCTCCAGCAATGCCAAGGGCATGCCAGCAGATGTGTCAGAAGCCCTGACGTCCGTCTTCCAGGAGGAGGGTGGGCTCTCCGGCCCTGATGCAGCCAACTACCTTGCCAGGCTCCAGCGGATGATGCGTTTCCAGAGTGAGACGTGGGCCTAAGAAGCCATCCTGCCAGCCTTGGCCACTCTAAACGCTGCCCTCTGGGGGGCTACTGTCACCTTCCACCCTATCCCCTGCACAGCCTCACTTCAGTCAACCTGGGGTCCTATACCCAGCCCTGACATCGCTGCTCACTCACCACCCCACCCCTGCCCCCATCCAGGGTTGCAGGCTACTGCCTGCCGGCCTTTCCCCACTGGCCCCAGCTTGGGTCCTGGTCAGGATGGTCCCTGGGCTGCCCCACCCTGCATAAGGACGGGGCCCCAGGAAGGAACTGGCAGCCTGATGGGCATCGGGGGCTCCCCAGACACCAGCTTCCAGACAGCACGCGAGCCCAGAGAGCCTTCTGAGGTTGTCCCAGGGGACAGCAGTTTCCCAGTCCCCTTCTGCCACATCTCTGTGCCCACCCACAAAGTACACGGTGCTGTCGCAGGGCCTCGCAGGGCCAGGGCTAGGGCTGGAAGGCAGGACCAGGGGAGACCCCCAGCTAGCACACTCTTTCCTCACCCTGTTCCTGGAACACCTCCGTAATAAACTGTGGGCTCTTGTTGGCTGTTTCTGACCTGCTCTTCCGCGTGCCTGTCTGGGTGCCTCAGGGCGTGTGTGGGCCCACAGTGTCTGGACGGGGACAGCAGTCGTGGCGAGCACAAATGCACCACAGCTCAGCCGTCTTTGCTGCAGTAGTTTCTCCGGGTCTGAGTCTCTGCGATGTGTCCTACTTGCCCACGCTGTATGGGCTCTGCCCGGACTCCGACAAGCAGGGGGCAGCCTAAGCGGGCCCTGGAAGGAAGGAAGGGTGAGGGGAGGCCCTGGCCAAGTGGGGATTGACCATTCCTTGCCAGTCCCAGGAGTAGCGGTCCCAGGAGTAGCAGTCCCTCGGGTGGGAACGGGGCGGGGGGTGGGGCAGCCATTGTCCCCGCCCCTGGGAAGGGCCTTCGGTGCTCCGAGGGGAATTCCTGTAGGAGGAGTCGAACCCTCCCGCCTACCCACAAGGCTGCTGCCTGGAGTCCGCCTGTCTGTCCGCCAGTTGCCGACACGGGTGGGCCGAGGCGGCC